GAAGGATACAAAAAACCACAAGTGCAAGCACCGCTCGGGGCATTCAGCAACCAAGACGGTCGAAGGGGGCCCCGAGACGGCCCAAGGGGCGCCCAAGATGGCCCAGAGGGCCCCAAGAGGGGCCCAAGAGAGACAACTCGATCTGGCATTCCGAGCCCTTCCCCCCGAGAGGACCCCCGAGACCGCCAGACGGCCTCACACGTGGACATCTTCCCTCTTCTGGGGGTCGGCGGAATGGTATAAGCTCCTTTAATCCGCCCGCCCGCCCTTTGAGGGGCGTGTGGGATTTCCCTGTGGGAGCTCCCTGCAAGACTTGAGCCCCCCCTTTCCCCCACCCTCCGTCGCCCGCGAGCGCCATCGACCCTTTTTGAGTCTGAAGACGGCGTCAGTACGGCTTTCAAACCGAGGTCGATATTCAGGTCCTTCTGGCGACGCTTTCGGGACGCATATCGGCTCCGTTTCGGCCCCTTCGGGGCCACTTCTTGGTTCACAGCAAGCTCCGGGGGTCCTCCAGAATGTCTCAACTGCGCGTACAAACAGGAAGTATCAAACATATAGCAAACTCATGGTTGTTGTTGTTGTTGAACTATCACAGCTGAAGAAGAATATCACTATTGATCCCCCCTCCGGTAACATATGTGTGTGTGTTCAATCGTAGACCTCCTCCTGGGGCTCGCACCTTGTTTTCATGAAGGACAATTGTCCTACTCAAACTGCGCCCCTGGCACCGGGACTACAACAACAACGGTTCCCGCCTGATACGACCCTGCAATACATTGAATTCCGCGCAATTCGTCCAAACTTCGAGCTCTCGCCTGTGACTTCCTCCCGAATTTACTCAGGCGCCACGCCTTCGGCATTCAGGAATCGCGCTCTCGCCTGGGGACTTCCTCAAACTCGACTTCGGGATCGCGCTCTCGCCCAAGAATTCCTGGCGACTTATGCAAGACTCACGCACTCGCGTAACAAAGGTGTTTTTGTTCTATTGAAGTGCCCCTTCCCAGGGCTCGCTGTGTTTCTACATGTTAAAATCTTCCTGCTCAAACTATGCCCCTGGCCCCCGGTTTACAACAACAGCGGCTCCCGCCTGATAGTTCCTTGCAATCTATTAAGTAATCGCGCTCTCGCTGAGGACCTCCGTGCAATTTATAAAAGAATCGCGCTCTCGCCTGGCACTTCCTTGCAATGGATTCGGGCGTCGCGCCTTCGACACTCAGGAATCGCGCTGTCGCTTGGGACTTCCTCGTAATTGAATGAGGCGCGCGCCCTCGACACGCAGGAATCACGCTCTCGCGTTGGATTTTCTCACGAAGAATATTCTGGAATCGCGCTGTCGCTCAAGACTTCCTCGCGATTCATGCAGGACGCACGCTTCAGCATCCCGCCGGCTCGACCTGGCTGCCTGGGCCCGTCTGTTAGGGTCTACCCGCCCGATCTGCCCGTCTGGCTCTGCCACGTGTTTTCTGCTCCTAGACCCCCTCCTGCTACTGCTACTCTCTCTCGTGCTCTATCCTCCTCCCTCTCCCTGCCCCTTCCTTCCATCCCTCCTCGCTTCCCTTGCCTTCGGTGTTGCCCGAAACACACGTTGCAGGTAAGAATAACCCTGAGGGATACGATCGAAGACGAAGAGGGTGAGTACCGAGGGTTTGGGATGTACGTGTTCAATGGCACGCGAGCAGTAAAGAGCGAACAGTTTTGAAATGCTTGGTGTTGTTGCTCCGATGCTCCTCCTCCGTCTATTTTCTCTGTCTCGTGCTCCATGCTCCTCTCTCCCCCTTGCCCGTTCTTTCCATCCGTCCTGTCGTCCCCTGCCTTAGGTGCTGCACGAAATACACGTTGCAACGTTGCAGGTAAGACAGGTATACCCCCAAAGGGATACGATCGAAGACGAAGGGGGTGCGGATCGAGGGTTTGGGATAAACGTGCTGAATGGCACGCGAACGTATAAGAGCGAACAGTCTTAAAATGTGGAGCGCTCGCTCACTTCAGAAAAAATAATTATGGTTGATCCCCCCACCAACGCATATTGTTTTTCAATTGAAGTGCCCCTCCGGCCCTCGCAACCTGTTTTTTTTTATCCGGGTCCTTTGCCACCGAGTTACAACAACATCCTCGCAATTTTGCCCAGACCCCCGCACCCGCCTGAGACTTCCTCACATCTTATTCAGGAATCGCGCTCTCGCTTGGGACGCCCTTGCAATTTACTATGGAATCGCTCTCTCGGCGCTCTGGCGTCGCGCTCTCGCTGGAGACGTGCTTGCAATTTACTCAAGCGTTGGAATTTCCCGCAATTCATTCAAGCGCCGCGCTCCCGACACTCAAGCGCTCAGGAGTCGCGCTCACGCCTGTGACTCCCTCACACGTTATTTAGAAGTCGCTTGCAGCCCTTCGTTGCCCCCTTGCTGCCCTTCGTGGCCCCGTTACAGCCCCTCGTGGCCCCCATCGCTGCCCTTCGTGGCCCCGTTGCAACCCCTCGTGGCCCCCTCGCTGCCGTTCGTGGCCACATTGCAGCGCTTCGTGGCCCCCTCGCTGCCCTTCGTGGCCCCGTTGCAGCTCTTCGTGGCGCCTTCGCTGCGCCTCGTGGCCCCGTTTCAGCCCCTCGTGGCCCCCTTGCTGCCCGTCGTGGCCCCGTTGCAGCCCCTCGTGGCCCTCTCGCTGCCCTTCGTGGCCCCGTCGCAGCCCCTCGTGGACCCCTCGCTGCCCCTCGTGGCCCCGTTGCAGCCCCTCGTGGACCCCTCGCGGCCCTTCGTGGCCCCCTCGCTACCCTTCGTGGCCCCAGTGCAGCCCTGAGTGGCCCTCTCGCCGTGGCCCTATTATCTGCCCTTCGTGGTCCCCGCTCGTTCGCGCTCTTCGTGGCCCCATACGCATTCCCTTCGTCTCCCCGCTTGCGCCCTTCGTGGCCTACTTCGTGCCTTCCGTGGCCCTGCTGTCGTTCTCTCTCTCGCTCTCGCTTTCGCTCGTCGTCGTCGTCGTCGCCGCCGTCGTCGTCGTCGTCGTCGTCGTCGCCGCCGTCGTCGTCGTCGTGGTCGGTCCCCTGTCCGTCCCCCTTGGGGTCGGGTTGCCGCCGATCAGCGCTGCCGCTGGCCAGGCCGACAGTCCGCGGCCGCCCCGCCGCTTGCGGGTATCGAGGGTTTGGGAACTACGCGTCAACGGACACTCGAGCAGATAAGAGCGAACAATCTCAAAATGATTGTTGCTGTTGTTGCTGGTGTTGTTGCTGGTGGTGGTGGGTGTTGTTGTTGTTGTTGTTGTTGCTGCTGTTGTTGTTGTTTGATGTTTCCTCGCCGGGAGTCGCCCTGACATCTCTTCGTCACTTTCGTCGCCGATTTGGGTCGTTTCCGATACCAGTTGTGAACGATTGTGTGCCCAGCTGGGGCCCCCAAAAGCGAAGCCTAAAACCTGTCCCGAACTGGTCCAACAGGGAGGTGCTATCGCTTGGGCCGTCCGCCATGGCCGCCTCGGGTCCTTCCTGGCCCTTTCGAGGCCCGTCTCGGGACCTTGTTGAGCTATTTCGGGGCCAGCTGGTCTCGGGCAAGGTTCTGGCTATCTCTGGCCTCATGCCCTCACAAAGTAAGAGAGCCACCAAGCTGAGGGGCGTGTGAGATCTCATTCTGAGAGCTCCTGACACGGTTTAGCCCCCCCCTCCTCCCCCCAAAGGCCTTCGCCATTCCGCCGCCCGGCTTCCTCCCATCCCCATTTCGGTCCCCAATACAGCCCAACGCAGAGATGGCGCAGGAGCAGACTACCACACGACAAATGTTCCATCGATCATGCACGCGGCATACTTGGGCCAAGGAGCCATGGAATGGAGAAGACATGGAGCGCAGGAGAAACAACAAGATACACCTGCGGGGCGTTTTTTGTTCACACGTGTAGCCCGTCTTGAGGCCGTCGTGGCCTCGTCTGGCGAGTACCGGAGAAGGCGGGCGGCGGACGCGAAGCGTCTCGGATACACGAATTCACATCTATCCTTCTCGCCGTCGCCGTCGCCGGCGGCTTTCTCGTCGGCAGCCCACTCGTGGGCGCGGCCGCGGCGCGGGGCGAAGGAAGCGCCCCAGGGCGGCCCCCCAGGACGGCCCGAGAGGGCCCCAAGGGGTCCCAGGAATACCTCGTGACTGCCTAAAATGAAAGGGGCCCTTGGACACACACATGAATACACACAAATCCCAGGACTCCCCGTATACTTCCATAAATTCAAAGTTTTCGTCTCCCCCCCACTTCCAACACTTTCCCATATTCCCGGGAGTCGACAATAAATTGCGTCTGTGTGTTATTTCCCCTCCTGAGAGAAAGGCCGAGAAAGGCTCCCTAAGAGGGCCCCAACAGGGCCAACAAAGGGGCCATGACGAGGGCTCGCGAGCGGCGTCGTCGCGGTCGTGGTCGTGGTCGTGATCGTGGTCGTGGTCGTAGTCGTGGTCGTGGTCGTGGACGTAGTCGTGGTCGTGGTCGTGGTCGCCGTCGTGGTCGTCGTCGTCGTGGTCGTGGTCGTGGTCGTGGTCGTGGTCGTGGTCGTGGTCGTGGTCGTGGTCGTGGTCGTGGTCGTCGTCGTCGTCCTCGTCGTCGTCGTCCCCCGTCAGGGTCTGCGGCGCCAGCCGTAACCCAGATGTGTCTTTCATAGCCCCCTTTTCACGATACGCGGGCTTACCGACGGATTGGGACCGAATGCAATAGTAGGAAACCGATTCGTCTCCCGCGGCGGCCACTGCTGGGGTCCCTATGGGTTCCTCAGGGCCCTGGGGATCCATAGAAAGGTCCCGATGGACTCGTAAGATGCCTAAGGCTTCATGCGGAGGGGATGACGAGGGGTACGGTGAGGAGGGGAACGCGAGGGAGAGAGGGGGCAAGGTGAAGACGGGAGGGACGAGGAAGGGGAGGATGCATTTTACTACCCACCGGGAGCTTGGGGGCGGGAGGGGGGGGGCACCATTAAAGACCCTTCTCGGTTACGCCCGTCGCAATCAAACCTTTCCTCCATCGTCGTCGTTTCGCCGGCCCGCCACCGTGGGCGCGGGGACGGCCCGGGGCGACGGAGTGCGCTGCGCCTCCTCGGGGCCGCGGCGGCGGGGAGCCTTACCACACGTCGCCGTCGTTCTCGCCCTCCTCGCCCTCGTCGTCGTCCTCGTCGTCGTCGCTGTCGTCGTGAACGTCGTCGTCGTCGATGTCGTCGCCGCTGCCGTCCTCCTCTTCCCCGAATCCTCCCCTCCCTGCAGCGCCGCCCTCATTCCGCGCCTCGGTCATTCAAAACCGCGTCCCCGCTGCAACGCTGGCCTCGTTCCCGTGCCTCTGGCTGTTCCACATAGTGTTCCCGCAGCGGCACTGGCGTACTCGGTCCTTCCAAGTAGCGTTATCGCTGCAGCGCTGGCCTCGGTCCAATGCTGCGGACCTCCAAATCGCGCTCCCGCTGCAACAGTGGCCGCATTCCCGTTTTCGGTGCTGGCCTCGTCATCTGGTGCCAGGCCACGGCATGCAATACGATGCTGTGTTGTGCACCTCTGGGCGATGCCATGCGTTAAGTTGCAATGCTTTGTGATGCAATACCTCACTACGCAATGCCACACCATGTTCTGGTATGCTATGTTTGCCGTGCTTTTCTACGCCATGTCTTTCCATCATCGCGCATCCGTTTCGGATCATTGCTCTGCTCGGCGCCCGGTAATAGACATGGTAATGGATGGGAGGGAAGTGTCGCAGATGTGACGCAAGCGCACCTAGCGTGTCCCCGCCCCCTCCCCTCCCCCCTCGCTCGCGCGCGCCCTCGCGCGGAGGAGCGACCAGAGGGGTTCGGAGAGGGGAGTGGGCAGGGGGAGGGGGACGCGACAAGCTAGGTGCGCTCGCGTCATATCTGAAGTCTTACGCCTCCCTCCCATCCCTTACCATGGCATGCATATCCTCTCTATTCGCACAGACGGACGCCGAGCAGGGCAATGATGGCGAGAGGGTACGCGATGCATGGCAAAGCACGGCAGGGCATGGCGTAGAAGATCACTGCAAAGCGTATAATACCATAGCATGGCGTGGAATTGCACAGTGAAGCCTAGCATCACAAAGCATGGCAACGCAAAACATGGCATCGCACAGCGGCGCAGAACACAACCCCGCACAACATGTCATGGCATGGCGCCGGATTCCTTCGAAGGTACATGGATCAACTTGGAGAGGTCTTGGCCGGTCTGGAGTCGCAGCTCCATGTCTAGCTCCTTGGGCTCCCCGAAGCTCCACACAAGGCGGGGCTGATGGAGAGCACCCGGTGGCTCTGATTTCAACATCGCCTTCTCAAAGCAGAAACGGGGCTTCCGCTTGATACTTCCAGAAAGCGACGACGCCCCAAAATGGGGTGGGTTCTGCGGCCCAGGAAATTAACGAATCGACTCCGGATATGTAATCACTTCCAATGGTTTTTACCTAACAGCGAAGACTGATAGGTTTCTAGTGGGGTCAAAAGAGAGCATCCTGATTCCACAGGGGGGTCTGGGCAGGATCCGGGGGATGCCGGGGAAAACCGGGGACTCCTCATTTTGACTGCCAGGAGCTACATTTTGAGTGCACGGAGCCAACAGAACATCATTCCCAGGCCACATTTTGAATGCCCGAAGCCAGCTGTAGGCCACTTCGTGTTCTTCGTGTTCCCAGAACACCATTCCCAGGCCACATTTTGAATGCTCGGAGCCAACTGTAGGCCACTTCCTGTTCTTCGTTTTCCCAGAACACCATTCACAGGCCACATTTTGAATGCCCGGAGCCAATTGTAAGCAACTTCGTGTTCTTCGTGCTCCCAGAACACACTTCCCAGGCCACATTATGAATGCCCGGAGCCAACTGTAGGCCACTTCGTGTTCCTCGTGTTCCCCAAACATGATTCCTGTACCATATTTTGATTGCCCAGAGCCATCTGTGGGCCACTTCGTGATCTTCCTGTTCCCAGAACGCCAGTCCTGTGCCATATTTTGAATGCCCGAGCTGAGGCAGGCTGAGGCCGAGGCAGGCTGAGGCCGAGGCAGGCTGAGCCTGAGGCTGACGCACGCCGAGGCAGGCTGAGGCTGAGGCCGAGGCAGGCTGAGGCTGAGGCAGGCTGAGGCTGAGGCAGACGCAGGCTGAGGCCGAGGCAGGCTGAGGCTGAGGCTGAGGTAGGCTGAGGCTGAGGCAGGCTGACACTGAGGCTGATGCAGGCTGAGGCTGAGGCTGAGGCTGATGCAGGCTGAGGCTGAGAGGCTGACGCTGAGGCTGAGGCAGGCTGAGGCTGAGGCCGAGGCAGGCTGATGCTGAGGCTGAGGCAAGCCGAAGCAGGCTGAGGCTGAAGCTGAGGCAGGCTGAGGCTGAGGCTGAGGCCGTGGCCGTGGCTGAGGCGAGCTGCGGCTGAGGCAGGCTGAGGCTGAGGCTGATGCAGGCTGAGGCTGAGGCAGGCTGAGGCTGAGGCTGAGGCAGGCTGAGGCTGAGGCTGAGGCCGAGGCAGGCTGAGGCTGAGGCCGAGGCACGCCGAGGCAGGCTGAGGCTGAGGCTGAGGCTGATGATGAGGCAGGCTGAGGCTGAGACAGGCTGAGGCTGAGGCTGACGCAGGCTCAGGCCGAGGCAGGCTGAGGCGGAGGCCGAGGCAGGCTCAGGCCGAGGCAGGCTGAGGCTGAGACTGAGGCTGAGGCTGAGGCTGAGGATGAGGCCGAGGCAGGCCGAAGCTGAGACAAGGTGAGGCTGAATGGGGGGGGGAATGGAGGGGGGGGGAGAGGAGGGGAGGCTGAGGCAAGCTGAGGCCGAGGCAGGCTGAGGCTGAGGCAGGCTGAGGCAGACGCAGGCTGAGGCTGAGGCTGAGGCAAGCCGAGGCAGGCAGAGGCTGAGGCTGAGGCTGAGGCTGAGGCTGGCTGAGGCTGAGGCAGGCTGAGGCTGAGGCTGACGCAGGCTCAGGCCGAGGCAGGCTGAGGCTAAGGCTGGGGCAGGCTGAGGCTGAGGCCGAGGCAGGCTGAGGCTGAGGCTGAGGCAAGCCGAGGCAGGCTGAGGCTGAGGCTGAAACTGAGGCAGGCTGAGGCATCCGTAGGAATCCATAGGAATCCTTAGGAATCCCTAGGAATCCAAAGGAATCCTTAGGAATCCGTAGGCATCCTTAGGAACCCGTAGGCATAGTTAAGCATCCTCAGGAATCCTTAGAAATCCTAAGGTACCTTAGGATTCCGCAGGAATCCTTAGGAATCCCTAGGAATCCCTAGGAATCAGGATTCCCAAGGATTCCTAAGGTTTCCTAAGGATTCCTATGGATTCCTAAGGATGCCTAAGGATGCCTTAGGAATCCCTAGGAATCCTTAGGATTCCGTTGGATCCTAAGGCCGTTGCCACTGCGACTGTCATTGCGAATGCGACTGCGACTGCGAGAACAGCAGAATTCTACAACTGGATTCTCACCTGAATCTAAGTGGAATGCTTCCAGATATGCTTATACACATCGTTGTTAGGTTGCTTTGCCGGGATAATTCCCAACCATCCTGTGGTGTTGGGTCATCGTTTTGAAAAGACAACGCCCCACGTTCCTCCTCTCCTCCTCCTCCCCCTCCCCCTCCTCCTCATCCCCGTCCTCCCATCCCTGCATCCTCCCATCCCTGCCTCTTTGGCACACCCCTCACACGTTCCGTGACCACATAGGGAGCTCCACCGAAGGTCCCAAAGCACCGCCGGCATGCGTCCGCCACCCGCCACACCCATGTCGGCACACCCATCACACGTTAAGTGGCCGCACAGGGAGCACCAGCCCCAGTGGCTGCCTTCGCATGCGGTTCCAACCCCTTTTCTGGTACACCACTTACACGTTTCGTGGCCCTCACAGGGAGCTCAGCCGAAGGCCCCAGCGGCTGCGTTCGCATGCGATTGTACCCCCATTTCGGCACACCCATTGCACGTTTCGTGGCCCCGTAAGGGGGCTCCACCGAAGGCCCCAGCGGCTGCGTTCGCATGCGGTTCCACCGCCATTTCGGCACACCCCTCACACGTTTTGTGGCCCCACACGGAGCTCCGCCAAAGGACCCAGTGGCTGCGTTTGCATGCGGTTCCACCCCCATTTCGGCACACCCCTCACACGTTTCGTAGCCCCCATAGGGGGCCCCACCGAAGGCCCCAGCGGCTGCGTTCGCATGCGGCTAGGGAGCATCACCGGAGGAAATTCGCCGGCCCAACGGGCCATAGGCGTGCTAAGATCTCCGGTAACTGGTTCACAATATTTCTAATTCGCGCGCGCGGGGCGGCTCCTGGGGGTCCCCGAACGAAAAGTACCCTGGCAAGGTCCCGGGAGGAGCCACTAGAGCACTCCAGGGGAGGGCCATTTTTCGACACCCCTCACGAGGATCGTGGCCTCCGAGGGGGGAGCCGCAATCGACTCCCCCCCCGAGGCCTCCAAGAGCCCCCCAAGAGGCCCTGGGGGCCCCCAAGCTTGGGAGCGTCTTGGGCCATCCTTTCGAATTCTGGGGGCTCCTGGGAGGCGTCTTGGGCCCTCCTGGAGCGCTGTTGAGGCTCCCCGGAAAGGCCGGGGGAGCGGTACCGGGAACGTTCCCGAGATGTGACGGGGAGGTGTGGTACCCGGGGCCAGGGGGGGGGCGGTTTTTGTATATATGTGTATATACGTTTATGTATATATATATATATATATACATACATATTTATACATATACATATGTACATATGTATATATATATATATATGTATAAATATATGCCGCCTACCTCCTCCTCCTTTTCCTCCACCTCCGCATTCGCCTCCTTCTTCTAGTCCTACCCTTGAAGCCCCGACGGGCTGGGGGCCTACGATACTTCACATGTGGAACACAGCTTCTCCTCCTCTTTTCCTTGCTTCTCGGAGGACACCTACGCCCTCATAGCTTGGCCAGGAAGGCGTCCACACCAATATTGGGCCAAGGGTAGGCCTGGTCAGGATCGCTGCTGCTACATAGTTGGCGTCCCTGGATCTTCCAACTCCTCCCCTTCTCGTCCTCATACTAACAGGGACGAATGAGAGGAGAGGGGCAGGACAATTGAAAGGAAGGATGACGAGGATCGCAAGGGGCTGCAGCCGCAGCAATATAATGAGCATCATCAGCAGCAGGATTGAGAGGATGATCAGCAGCAGCGTTAGCAGCAATATCAGCAGCAGAAAATAGAGGGGCAACGGGAGCGAGGGGAAGTGACGAGGATTGAGGGGTAGCCGTCCTGCAGCCTCGAACTTCTGCTCGCTGCGAACCAAATCTCCAACGAGTCGATTTTCTCTCGGGCAGCTGACAACTGCACCTCTCGGCGAGCAACGAGCATCGATGTTAGAGGCTCGACCTCTTGGACGTGATTTTTCTTCCCTGCGGCGCTCCTGAACCCTCTGGGGACACTCAGATCCCTCGGGGAACCTCCAGAGACGCCTAGTGAGAGGAGGAGGGGGAGGAGGAGGAGGAGGACGAGGAGGAGGAGGAGCAGGAGGAGGCCTCCAGAGACTTCTGACGGTCATGGGTCCTGGACGCGGTCCCCATACGCCGAAATGCGCGAGAAGCCTGCACTGCAACGTTTCTTCGCATCGCCCAGAGGTCAGCGGACCTGGTTTCTGGGTAGCCCCAGGCCCGAAGCGGGCCGTCGAGTGGCCGATGCCTCACGCATTCTCGGCAAAGCCTGAAATGAAACTTGCTCCGATGCTGTAGCTTTCTCGATGCCTGATTCCTGGAGGCCCCGACCGCTTCCTGGGGACTTGTGCCCTCGACCCCAGCTACCTGTGGACGGCCCCGGGGCACAGCAACGGCCCCCGCGGGCCGAAAGCGGATGAAGGCACACCGCCTTTCTTCTCTCAGAGCGCTGGAACCTCGGGAATCCGCCTCAGAGAATCTGGAACCTCGGGAATCCCATTGGATTCTCGGGAATCCCCTTGGATTCTTGGACCTCTCCTTGGGTGCGCGCTGCCTCCCCTGCAACAACGACGCGGACGGCGTCGCCAGAGGCGCGACAGCGCGGGGGGATCCCGCGGGCGCGGCGCCGCGCACTGTGGACAAGCAAACCGCAGGAGGCCCCCACGAGGCTCAACCTTGGCCCGAGCCCAGGCTTCAGCACACAGCCACGCACAGAAACGCCTCCGAAACCTACACCCTGCGAAATGCTTAAGAAATCATGGGTTAAGAAATTGATAGTCTCAGAACTTGAATAAAGACCCAACATGTCTATTAAAATCTTAAGATTTACATCGAAACGTTAATACTAATCGAGACGCTGGCCGAAAACTCAAGTTCTCTTAAGCATCGCCTAAGGTGTAGACCCCATATCCCACCGACGATCGGCGGAGGCAGAAGGGGTGGATCGCCCAGGGGCGGGCAGCGCGGGCATCCGCTGGGAGAGCCCCGTCGCAGGCACGGGCGATCGGAACCCCTGGAGATGGCAGGCTCGCTCCGTGGTGGACCCCGGCCTCGACCTTCTGACAACCTTGGGGAAAGCGAGCGGCTCTTCGATCACCAGATCGTTGCAGATCGGCCGATTGCGGGCCACTGGCGGCGCTCCACCTGGAACGCCCGCGGCGGGGCCGCCGCCGCGTCGGCACGAGGCGGACCTGCAGTACATGTACAGTCGGGGCGTTGACCTAAGGAACCCTGGATAAGGAACGAGGCCCCTTTTTCCCATAAGTCGAACTTCGATTTCCTATCGAAACCCTAAGCAAAACCAAAGGCGAACTGCAAAACAACTAAGGAACACCGAGCCCCTCCCCAACGAAAAGGGTTCCTTCCTCAGCGCCCCGATTGTAATGCCCATCCCCTCCAGGCCCAAGATGCACGACATCGCCGGGCTAACCTCGGGCCGCGCCCGATTGGCGGAATCGAGTCGGATCGACCGGATCAAACTGGGACCCGAAAAGATTCCCCCACCTCGGAGGCAACGGTGATGGGGGCGAATGGCCCAAGGGGGAACAACAATCACGCGCACCCGGGGGCGCCGATGGTCCAAATCTCCGGCGAAGCTTCCGAGGCGAACACGTGCAATGCCGCCTGCCCCTGGGCTGTTCGCCGCTCTCTGGTCTCGGGGATGGACAGAACCCCCTTTAGCAAAACGTGGTTTAGTGAAAACGACCTCGGGCCCAAACCCGGCGGGCGCAAGCCTGGAAAATAACGGCCACGGCGCCCTCTCGAGAGCCGAAAACGGACAATTCACTAATCGACGTGTCACTGTTGGGGGTTCTGTCCACCCCCGATGGTCGTCGTCGTCGTCGTCGATGTCGCTGACCCCAGACGGCGGCGGCGCCGCCGCCGCCGCGAAGCGCTCCGGCGAGGGCGTCCGCGACCGCGCGGGGGAGCCCTCCGGCGCGCCGCGCCCCGCGAAGGCGCCCCGCAGCGCCCCGGCCGCCTCCCCGAGGCTCAGCTCCTCTGCGGGGCGCGGCCGCGCTCTGCGGGCGGCCCTGCGCGGCGGGAGGCCGCCCGCGCCAATCCCCGTGCCCAGCCCCAGCCCGATCCCCAGCATCCCACCCCCCCAGTTTCGGGGATGATGCCCCTGGATACTCGAAGGGCACAGCCCGTATCACATCCCCATCCATGGGGGGCGAATCGGCCACCGAGGCCCATGCCACGCCCGCAGGGACAGGGATCGTCTAGACGATGCTCAAGATGGGGTCCGAGGAAGATGGTAGCGGTGGATCGCGCCGCATCGCCGATGCATCGGCGACGCGGCTCAATGCGGAGTCCGACTTCTTCCCACGCCGACGTCACCGATGCACCGCCGATGCATCGCCGGCGCACCGCCGATGCATCGGCGATGCGGGGCCTCCGAACCCATCCACTTGGATCCCATTTGGACAGCCTCGAACGACCCTACTCCGTGCGTCGTGGTCAGCTCGTCGTCCGTGGGTCGGTCGTGGTCGTGATCGGCTTCGGCTGCAGAGGGGGGGAACTCACACTCCTTCGGTCGACGTCGGCGGCTTCGTCTCGAATTTTGCTGTTAGAAGGGAGCGTTGAAGGGACTCGTCGCCACGGCTGGACGCAACTGAAGTCGTCATCGTCGTCTTCGGCGGAAGCCGGAAACAATGGAAACTGAAATAACCAAGTCGCGGAGCGACGGACGAAACGTTTGTCATAAGACATCAATCCACTGCCGAGTCTTCAGCCTGAAACAAAACCCTTCTGGTCATAACGCATGTCCAATCCCGCACACGTGTTCTTTCCATCAGAACAACTGGCCCTACCACCATGTCAATTTCCCCCGAACTTCTCGATACCGTCTGGGTCACTGCAGAACGCACGTGAATCCCATCAATACTTTCCACATGAGCCCACGTCACCCCAACCAATCAAGTATCCCCCCCCCCTACGCCCGTGTCAAACAATGCTAGTCGCGAGCAGCGGCTTATCTCAAGCGAAAATACCTCAATATTCTTTTGGGGAAACGAACTTAACGAAATCCACACACGCGGGCACATGCCGGCACCATGGCAAACACAGCAGGTGTGCAAGCGTTCAGACATCCAACGTGGAATAACGATATTCCTGGTTTCCAAACACAAAGATATCAAGCTTTGGCCAGCGCGCATGGTTGAAATGAACAGACAAACGTATGAGGTTAACCGTCTTGTCCAAGAATTGTGTTATCATCTCACCACGCGGTGCATCCACGTTGATTTACCAACAGTCGCTCAAAGCACCAATCCTTGCCGAAAAACTATCCGCACGCGCCGCCACGCGCGCGCCGCCAGATCCTTCCGATCTCTCTGGTTTTCGAAATATTTCAGCATGTAACCGAATTTCGGGCGTAAGTGGTTTAAGGAATTTCCACTTCCAGCACCCTTTTTCCGCTTCGCGGAGGGGTTTACCCACCCCACCCTACCCACCCCTGGACCTGGACGGGGGGGTCCGCGAGCGGTCAGAGCGTCCAAGATGGTCAAAGACGACTCCAAGATGGCTGAAGATAGTCCAAGATGCCTCAAGATGGCCCCCAAGATGCTCCAAGAAGTCCCAAAGGCTCCAAGACGGTTCTAAGAAGCCTCCGAGACCTCCAAAGAGGCCCCCAAGAGGCCATAATCCTTCCAACACCAAGGGGCAACTAATGATTCGCCTTCTCGCCTTTCCGCTTCAGATGGCTTTCCGAGGCCTCAAGATGGCTCCAAGATGGCCCACGCGAGCACCGAGAGAGGCCCAAGAGAGCCCCATTACGGCCCCAAGAGTGCCCAAGAGCGCTCCAAGAGTGCCCCAAGAGGTTCCCAGGAGGTGATCGTTGGGGCTCGAGAGGGGGGGCGCGCATTGGAGATCCCCTCTTCTTTGATCGATGTCCTCCAAGATGGTCCCAAGAGGCGCCCAAGAGGCCCCAACAGGCCCCAAAATGGCCCCAAGATGGCCCCATTAGGCCCCCAAAAAGCCCTCCAGGAGGCCCTCAGGAGGACCCCAAGCGGCCCCAAGAAGCTCTTCCAATGCACCCAAGACGCCCACGAGCACCCCAGGACCGCCAAGAGACCCCCAAGACGTCCCAACGGGCCTCCAACAAGCGCCCAAAACATATCCCAAAAGGCTCCCAGAGGCATCCAAGAGACCTCTGGCCCTTTTGCATGCCCTCCTCCTCCTGCTCCTCATTCCTCCTCCTCCTTCTCTTCCTTGACCGCCGCCTCCTCCTCCTCCTCCTCTTCCTCCTCCTCCTCCTCCTCCTGCTCGTCCTCCCCCTCCTCATCCTCCCCCTCCTCCTCCTGCTCTTCCTCCTCCTCCTCCTCCTCCTCCTCCTCCCCCTCCTCCTCCTCCTCCTCATCATCATCATCATCAGCATCCTCTTTCTCTTCCTCCTCCTATTCATCCTCCTTTTTCCCCACCCTCTCATCCATCCAACCAGCGTCATCCTTCTCCCCCTCATTCCTTCGCACGGTTCGGCCGCCCCCCTCATGCGCACTCCCTGACAATCACCTCCGTTCGCGCCGCTGCATCACAACCGCCATGGCCGGCATGGGCGCCATCACCATTCGAGCACTTTCACCAATGACACATGGACATCATCATCGTCACCGTCGTCATCCACATCGGCGCCGTCGTTGGCCTGGCCATCATGATCGTCATTACCGTCGCTACTATCATGATTGTTGCCACCGTGGTTGACGTCATCATGATACCGCGCCCGCCCGAATCACACACCTGCCCTGAAGCACCCGCGCGCCACCGCGGACTTCGAGACGCTTTGGGTCGCTCTCATCGAGAAGCGCCATCACGTCCGCATCAGTGCCGAACACATGGCCGCTCTGCGGGTGAGCTTGCGCAGACGGAAAATTGCGCCAGCTAGTGCCAAATAATATCAGCAATCGCGGAGGGTGCGCCGCTGGATCTCCCCAAGGGGGGGGGGGGATTGGGACCCCCCCCCCCCTTCCCCGATGATCCGTCGTCGGGGAACCCCCCACCCCTCCCCCCCTGACCCGATCCGTCGTCGGGGACCCCCCCCCCCTCTCCCCCTTCCCCGATCCGTCATCGGGGACCCCCCCCCCTTTCAAAAGGAGAGGGGGGGGGGTTCCGGACCCCCCCCCCCCTCCCCCCCTTTGGCCGCACCCCCCCCGCCCTTTCGCCACGCCGCCCCCTGACTCCGGAACCCGACCCCCGCCACCCCTACCCCTAGTCCTCACCCTAACCCAAACCTCTAACCCTAACCCCAACCACTAACCCCAGCCCAAAAGAGTACTCACTACTCACTACTCCCTACCCACTACTGACTACTCGCTATTCGCTACCCACTTCTCACTACCCCCTACTCACTACTCACGACTCACTATCCATTACTCACTACCCACCACCCACTACTCGCTACTCACTTCTCCCTACTCACCACTCCCTCCTCCCTACTCACTACTCACACCTCACTGCGTGCTACTCAATACTCACTACTTACTAAGCACTACTCACTACTCCATACTCACTACTCACTAATCACATCTCATTACTCACTACCCACTAATCCACTACTCACTACTCATTGCCCACAAATCACTACTCACTACACGCTACTCGCTAATCCCTAGACAATACTGACTACACAGTACTCAGTACTCACTACTCGCTAATCCCATACTCGCTACTCAATACTCACTACTCACCCCCCGCTACTCACTACTCACTACTCCCTGCTCACTACATAGTTTCTAGTCACTAGTCACAGGTCACGAGTCACTACTCACGACTCACTACCCACTACTCACTACTCACGATTTTCTACTCACTACTTCCTATTCGCTACCCACTTCTTACTACTCACTGCTCACTACTCTCTTTTCCCTACTCCCTACTCCCTACTCCCTACTCACTAGTCGCTACTCCCTAGTCGCTACTCACTAATCACTACCAACTACTCACTACTGATTACTCTCTACTCGCTACTCACTACTCACTACGCCCTACTCGCTCCTCACTACTCACTACTCGCTACTCCCTACTCGCTACTCCCTACATACTAACCACTGCCACTACCCACTACTTTCTATACATGACTATACACTACTCACTACTCACTACGCACTACGTGCTACTCAGTACTCAGTAGTCACTACTCACTAATCACTACTCGCTACTCTCTACTCACTACTCACTACTCACTACTCATTACTCACTACGCACTACGCACTACGCACTACCCACTACTCACATCCCACGAATCAGTATTCGCCACCCGCTACTCACTACCAACTACTCACTATCCACTACTCATTACTCCGTACTCCCTACTCAGTACTCGCTACTCACTACACGCTACTCACTACTCACTACTCGCCACTCACTACTCACTTACCAGTACACACTACTCACCATTCACTACTCACCACTCCCTACTCCCCATTCCCTGCTCCCTAGTCGCCACTCACTACCCACTACTTACTACCCAGTACTCACTACTCACTACGCACTAGCTCGCTACTCACTAATCACCACTCCCTACTCCCAACTCCGTATTCCCTACACACCTTCTCTGGCGCAGAAAGGAGAAGCGAGAGAGGCCCCCACTCTCCGGCCCCCTTTCTGGCGCAAAGGGGGGAAGGGGGGGGGGATCGACCCCCCCCACCCTTTCAGCGCCAAAGGGGGGGGGGAGGGGGCGGGTTCCGGACCCCCCCCCCCTTTCAAGGGAACGGGGGGGGAGGTTCGGACCCCCCCCCCTAAAGGGGGGAAGGGGAGCAGGGAGGGGGGGTCCAGACTCCCCCCCCCCCCTTGAAGGGGGGCAGGGGGGGAGGGGGGGTTCTGGACCTCCCATCCCATTTAGTGTATTCAGGGAGATCCACGGGCGCATTGTCGCAATCGCGGCCGCATGTTGTGCAGAACCTTCTGCGGTTGGGAGGACGGGGCGCTTGCGAGAACACAGGGGTTGAGTTCGAACTCTGCAAGTCCGATACAACAAAATTTGCGCACCGTAGTTTGCCGCAC